ACTTAATAATTTTGAATTTCATCCCTTATCTATTATTCTGATCCTCCAGGCCACCGATTTCTTTCAATCCTCCTCTGTGTTGGTGATGTCTCCCAACTTCCTCTCTGCCACGGATTTAATTTAACTGTGACTTCTTGTGCTTTGGTCTGTAATAGCATGACTGAGTAAGTCTGATTACATGACTTGTCCTCTCTGATTCCCCAGCGACGCCTGTTAGCTCCACAGCCCAACTCCTGGGACCCTGCTTGGCACCGAGCCCCTCTCCCACCGCCCAGCTCTTATGCTCATCTCCCTCTTCTCCTGTTTAATTAATAAATTTCCCATGTGGCTGCACAACAAATGCTTTAATGAAGTCCAGATAACTGATTTTTAGACAAGGGAAATACAGTAATCTTATCAAAGACAGATATTATCAGACGAGTCTAGCATTTTTGTGCTGTTTTCCATTTATCTATATTTCTGTTCTCATTTTTGTTTTAAGTCAATTGTGAAAACTTTTTGAAGACACCTGGGCCTGTAGTCACTTTGACACTATTTCTCTTCTTTTTCCTAAATATAACTTCTATTTTTCAGCTCTTCTGATATTGTTACAGTATAGGACCACTTGAATAGATCTGAATAGCAAAGGTTTTAAACAAATATATGTTTTCCTCTGTTGAGTCTCTCATATTTGGGTTGGAGATTTTCTGTTTGTCTTAATTGGAGCATATTTAAACAAAAAGTTCTGCTCCCAGACTGCATGAAATAATTTAATTTTCTAAATTGCTACTCCTATTAGTTATGGCCTGCAAGATTTCTCTTCCTATAAGAATCTGCCCCACCACTAGCACTATGGTAGAAGAATTGATGAGAAGTGTTTTGTTTGTGGGGTCATATATAGATTATCTGAAATTTTGATGAAACCTCACTTCTAAAAAATTCTTATTTAACTTTAAAGGGTTAGTTCAAAAGCCTTGACATGTCTGAGTTTATTCCAACCCTTCATGAAAGTCAAAGAAATATGGTTTATTGGCTAATTTTTTTTTCTTGTCACTTTGACATTTTCTGTCTACTCTTCACATCTTTAGGGTTCAAGTTTAACATCTCCTCTCGGGGATGCTAATTCGATGTAACTTTGGGACTTCTGAACACCCTCACATAATGTCAGTCACATTCTCAATCATCTCAGTCCTACTAACTAGCCCCCAAACTTCATATTTCTTCTTTCTAATGCAAAATTACAATGATAATCTCTTTTCTGTCCTGACTTATTTTTATAACTCAATAAAGTGAATGATAATTTCATCAAGAATTAATCATATGAGCAGAGGTTTCGGGGTTTTTAAGCTGGTAGAAATTCAGAAGTTCCTATTGAACTTTATGAATATGTGTCCCATTCAGCTGAATGAAAAAAAGCAACGGAGCTTCTTCAGGCTTACGACTACTTGTGCTGGAATGGAATTGCATAAAGTGACATAATGGATTTTTTTTCTAGCTTGCATTGTTGTAAGAATACCTGGATCCCTTAAAAATAAAAGTAAACACTTTTTAGCAGAATACAACTGTTGTGTCTCTCATCATATAGGCAAATTTAGACCATACTTCACAACAAAGTGCAAGAATTAATTCCTGAAACAAAAACTTAATTAATATCTTAATTAAAAAATTTACTCATGGAATTCTGATACTGTGCTAGGACCTTTTCAGAGAAATATGGAGAAAAAATTTATGAACTGGACAAATGCCTTCTAATTGCCCCTGTTTGATGAAGGGGCTAATTTTCATTGGCTTTTGGGAAGTATTTCAGTCCTTAGAATATACAAATAGGTTTGAGATTTTCCTGTAGTTATAAGCACCCACAACCTCACAGTATCATTTCTTAAATTGAAGTAGTGATTTAAATTACTTTTGTTTTATGCTCTTTGTGATCCTCAAACACCGCAGTATCAATATGCTCAATTTAAGCAAATTTTAAATTTTCCCTGAGAATAATTATACGAGGACAGATATTTCTGATCTAAAATTAAGTAAAATAATTGTTACATTGACATTCCCTGTACTCAGCTATTTTCAGGGCAGGTGTGCACAAATAATGGGCTATAAACCAGAAATCTTTATAAAATTAAGTGCAATATGAAATAAATTATGCTACAAGCCCTGTAGTGTATCTGTGAGGCTGTGTTATCATTGCCATACTTTACCTGTGTTGCTGTTGTGAAAAGAAACTTGTTGACTAGGGCTCCAGCTGCTATTAGAACAAAATTTAAGAATTCTGCTCTAATCACAGCAAAAGTAAAACTGAGGGGCTCAGATTACACATACATTGAGTGGTGCAGTCCCAGCCCTTTCAGAGGTAAAGAAGCACTTTCATAGGATGTGTCACTCCATCTTACTCCTGATTCCCATGTTAGAGGGAATGAATCTCCTTTTGGAAGTGATAATCTCTCACCTCTGATAATAGGGATGATATACAGGACTGCCTGAACACAGATGCTTAGAACAATAAGGCTATATAAGGTAACACTATCCTGGCACATACCCATAATTATCCATTTTGAAACCTCTTTATACTTGTACATTTAAAGGTTCAAAAAATAGGTACTCATCTTTAACATCCTTATGCAAACACTGTGCCCAAATTTTTACCCTGAAATTTTTAAATCAAAACAAAAAAATATTGACTACATAGGTAAAACAGGAAATGGGGCAGAATTCAGTTTCTCCTTTCTCTAAGGTATGAAAATTAAGCTAAAGAGTAAGGATCCTGCTTTGTACATCCAACTCCATTAGGAGTAGGCCAATCTGCCCTCCATTTTTTTCCCAAATGTTCTGTATTCTGGTAATCTGGGTATTTTTTGCATGAATGATATGCAGTGGGGTTTTTTATCACATGAGGGTGTGATAGAAGCTGAAAGTGGCACTGCTACTTGGATGTCACAGTAGTTGCTGTGAACTCTAGCTAACAGTAGAATATTAAGCTAGATACAGGCATTAACAATTCCCCTTCTTCTGAGAATGCTTCTTGAAGAAAAAAACCTGTCAAACTCTTGTTCCTGTAAGTAGACAAGAGTCTCTTGTAGTAGCAAATGGTGCCATCCCTGCTTTCCAAGAGTTGTGGCATCCTTGTGGCTGAATGCTGTAGGTAGTCAGCTACGTTCAAAGAAATGCAGACACTTTAGAATGCTCTCTTTTTTCCCCGCTGGAAAGCAGTGGAAGGTTTCCTGCTGGGCCCATGTTGTTTTGGGATCATTCTTTAGGGGTGATGATTCAGTTCATGTGTTATACATGTCTTGGCTCCTAATCTGGGCTTTTGCAGACACCCTGATAGCACCTAAATGTTTTGATGCATCTGTATCGTGGTTAAACCCCAACCTACACAGTGTCCAGGTTTATGGAAGCAGGTGAGTGAAAAAGATGTAAAAGAGCAGAAGAAAATTAGGAAGTAGATGTAACACTAAGCCAAGTCTTTGAACAATAAAAAAAGCCCAAGCAAAAAAACAAAAACCAACCACCCTCCCTAAACCCCTAGGTATAAATAATAAGCACAAATGGTTTACCTTAAAACCTCCACAGATCAACTTAAAAAGGTGGATCTGCCACATTTTTCAGAATGAAATGCAGATTGTGGCAACTGCAGGCAGGGGAAAGTACAACTCAGTGTGAGCAGAAGAGTGAAAACCACATGGAGGTTATGCACATACCAGAATTCAAGAGGGACATGACATTCATAGAGATTGCAAGAATATTTAGCATTATTGCAATTAATAGTGAAAAAGAATCCCTGAGAGAGCATTAAATCTTGTACTTCAAGGACAGCTTCTAACAAAAAAATGGCCGAGAGGAAATTTAAGAGGGCAGTGCCAATTACTCCAAGTATTTTCCTACAACAATTCTACATCTTCCCCTGAAGTATCTGATAGTGGCCAGTGTGAGAGATCAGATGCAAGGCTGGCAAGAGCTTCTGTCTGCTTAGGCTGGCAAACCCTATAAAGACTGGTTTTTAAAAAGTTGGTGACAGTAGATGTCTACATTCTTTTAATAGTGTATAAATTTAGCATCCTCCTTCTGAATTAAGCATTTAGGTGGCAGAGTTAATGTTATATCAATTCAAATGAAAGACACTAAGAGAAAATAGAAGGGGAAAAGATTAATATTTGAAAATTAGAAAGTAATTTCCAGTAACAGAGGTGGACGGCTGGTTTAAAATCACATAAATTAAGGCCTACAGAAAAAAAATCCCCTCATAGAGGAGTCATTAGGAGTGATACAATAATTTACATTTTACATAAGTGACATTCTCTTAACATTTTTTTCATTTTCCATTAAAAATTAGATCCCTATAAGCACACAATTCGAAGTGCTAGCAGTTCGATTGATATCAATTGATATTGATGAGGTCTGCAGGCACTCAGCATCTCTCTGTAGGTGTTTTTTGTGTTGAACCTGCCCTTTTTTTCACAGCCAGCAAAACAACAGAAAAAAATTGCACTGGCTGAAGGAAGCAGAATTCGTTCCTGCTGGCCAGGCATAGTTTAGCAACAGTATTCATACACATGCAGGGAGAATCTTTTGATTTATTTCAGGTAACAAAGATGTCTTTTTCATCCATCTCTGTAAATATATAAATATTTGAAAAACACAAGAAAGAGAGAGCCCTGGCCTCTTGAACACATATATCCTTCCAGACCCTTGCCTGACCCCAAAATTATGCTCTCCTGTCACTGACCCATCTAATCACCTTTGTGCTGCTTTCTCAGAAAAGGCCTGGGAAAACCCATCAGATTTGCAATGTTATCTGAAGGTCAACACATTCTCATTTTCTCAGCCAATTCTTTCTTATGACCAAGCCTTAATATCAGGTCACTCAAAAAGCGTTACATTTTATGTAGCTGTTATTTTCAGAATTTCAAATAGCATTAAAATGTTGTGTAATTAACCAGCAGTCTTTATATTTGAGTCTAAGGGGAATTAGAACAATAATTTTTGCAGAATAACACAAGAAGTTTCTTTTTGTTTCACAGAAAAGAAGAAATATTGGCAACGTCTGATGGTGGCACATGGAATAACTCAAGGACTTCAGGTACAACACCCGGTTTAATTAGTTCTTCCTTACTGCACATGTTAATTAAAAATAGTGTAACAACCAACATCATGGAAATTATTCAACTGTTTTTTTAACTCTTCAGACACAAACATCCCAGAAATTGTTTATTCACAAGCAGAAGACAAAGACACGAAGCTAACTAAAGAAAATATAAAAGCCAAAAATGCAGAATACAACCAGGGCGATCACAAAGATGATGAAAAAGAATTAGAGTTGCTGGTAAGTGTTATACAATTATATCTACAGTATTAAATGATTTGAATCCATTTACGCTTCAAAGCTGGTGAAATGCCCCCTTTTAACAGAGCTGACTGATGTACTAATTTACAAATGTAAAGCCTTGGTCTGTACTTACACTGAATCTCTAACTGATTCAACAATAGAAGGTGCTTTGATTTTAGTATAGTGCATCAACTTTTTCTGGTCTTAAATTAATGACATCTCCCTTTTACTTCTTTACCAGAGGCTCTAAAAGACAGTTCTAAGGAATTAGAAGGGCAACATTTAAAAAAATCTCCCCTCCTAGTCTCTAGGATGGGAATATTTTTAAATACGTGCTTTCTATTTGTAATTTTTTATATTTGTAGTACTGTTTACTTATGAGATTTTTGAAACAATAACTATATGAGCATAGTAAGTATATATATTTATATTAGCAGATTCTTCTGTATCAGTATTTTACATTGTATTTTTTACAATGAATTTCACACTCGGTGAACATTCAATCTATTTGGATTTGTGTGCACACATGTGTGTGTGTGTGGTTTGCCTTGCATTTTCCAGGATGAAAGAAAAAGTGGCAATAAATGAGACACATACAGCAATCTGTTATTCCCAGTGTCTGTTCTCAGCTCATATCATTTGGGTGCACAGATTCATAATCATAGATTATAATAGCTATCACCTGTGAAAATGTGAATGCTGAATCAGATAAGAGAGGAAGATGGGAGCCATTCTTTTTTTTCTTGTTGATGGAGAGAAAAAATTCCTCTCATTTGAATATAAATTTTTCTTTCCTTTTACTTTAAAAAGTTGAAAATGGTTGCCTATTGTGGGACCTTTCACTGCCTGAAAGTCAATGTTTTGGTTCTTTTTTCTTTATGGTGAAATGTGCAAAGGAAGACCTCTAAAATCTCTTGTTGTTCTCAGTCCACCCTTTTATAAAAAAAGAGGATCAAATATAACCATTTGTTTATCAATTGCCAGACTTGTCCGTACAATAAATGAAGGGGGAGCTATAATTTAGATGTTAATTTGCACTGTGCGCTCTTTAATGAATTAAACAATGAAGGCTTATAATACATGGAAATAAAACCAAATCTTTGAAACACACAGGCATTGGCTCACAAGACAGCTGTGCAGTTGACAAGTAACATGAGCCTTATGTGAGAAGAAGGGGAAATCGTAAGATTTGCATATAATTATTGAGATCATGCAAATGTCAGTTATGAGGAGGGGAAAAAAACACAGGCATCTCACTGTTAAATCCTGACAGTTGGCATCACCGAAGAACTCAAATACACTTGAGCACTGGTTGGCAGAGGGTCATTAAAACAGAATTTGCAGAGACATTAGCTCCCTCACTTTTCTTTGAGTGACGTTTTACTATTAATAGTTTGCAGAGGCTTTGCAGAAAACATATTAATAAGAGAAACTGTAATGGGGGTATCTACAGCAAGTGCAAATGTACAAAGGGGTGCCCAAGAAACTAGCCTCTAATTGATCAGCTAGTGCTATCAGTGTGACTGCTAAAGTGAGAGGAGAGTGCAGTGACAAGCAGGCATACTGAATAATACAATATGATATTTGGGAGCTGGGAGGGAGAATGATTAGTTTCTGGCCTTTTACTTTGCTAATCTCATTTCCAACTCATGTCTTACCAGATTGTCTAAAAACAGTCTGGTTTGAAGCCTGTAAAATGGTCCCTGAGAGAAATGAAGCACAGATAATCCTACAGTATTTGTCAGTGTGAAATGTGTCTTTGTTTTACCGGACAATACTGTACATTACTGGACACTGATGTACTGTATCAATGCCCTTGTTTAAGCACCAATCCTCCCCCCTCACCCCACGGCTTCCTCTCTCCAAATCTAGAATCAAATGTATAGTGAACAAATTAGCCTGCCTTTAAGGAAATATTCTCTTCAGATTTAATTTGTATAAAATCCACTAGCAGCTTACTGAACTCATGAATAAAGAGAGAGGGTTCTGAGCACTATTTTATTTCCTGTTCCTTTGAGCACCACCATAAAGCTCATTACCTATGTTAAAAAATACATGCAATGCAAATTTTGCAAATGGTTTGGAACATGTTTCCATAAAAGCTTTGTTACTGAAAACAAAACTTTCCATAATGAAATCCTGCCTCCTTCATTTGGCATATTTTTGCAAAGCACTTTTTCATCATTCTTTTCTATTCTATTGTTTCAGTTAAATCAGCACTTCACAGGAGCTAGAGGTACCTCTTCCAAAGATGAAAGGAATTTATATACAACAGAACCAATTAATTTTCCAAGTGAAACTGAAGGATTGGTGGAAAAGCTAACCTGTATAGAAAGAAGCAGTGACTTGCACCCCGTGCCTATCGGTTCCTCATCTGAAAACACTTCCCATGCGGTAGGAGAAGAATTAAAAGATAAAGCTAAGTATTCTGTAAGAGATTGTAATAATCAGCTACCAGGGAAGGAAGTCACTGCTGGCTCAGTAAACAGCTATGAGCAGTCTTTGGAACATACTGGTACCAGTGAAAGCCTTTTATCGGCAAAATATTTTCCTCTGACAAAGCAGAATGAGGCTATCAATACTATGGCTACTGGCTCAAGTGGACAAGGAGAGAGGCACACAGATATTTCAAAAGGTGAAATAGATAGTTCCTCGGGAAGTAAGATGATGGAGAGGTTATTCATCAGTGAGGATGCTGCTGGTACCTCAAAAGGAGCCTGTGAAACGAGACCAGAAACCATTTTACCAGAGCATGATGAATCCATGCAATTAAATGAATACATAGCAAGGACACTGGATGGCAATGCTAATCCAGCTCTGGAGCACCAGGCACCACGAATGTTTCACCAAACTTTGGATTCATTGTCATCAGATGCTGACAAAAACATAGGAAAAATCAAGATGATTGAAAGCAAAATTCAGGTACACTCAAGAGGAGATTTGTATGCTGGCACTTTTGCACATGCTGGTGTCTCAACAGATTCCACACAAAAGGAAGGAGTTGGTGAAATGTCAGAAAGGAACACTGATTTAGGAAAGCAGAAGAAAGTCATTGAAGTAGCAGACTTGACATCAATCGGTGAGGAGGAAGCTTCCAAACCTTTCAAGGCTTACAGGAAACACAAAGCCCTGAACCCAGCACCTCTGCCAGCTGAGAGCAAACAGGCACCCAGGGCCACCAGGGTGGATGAAAGGCAACCTGAGGACACTCAGGAACACAGAGGATTCAGGAGGTTAAAAGACAGAGAGACAGACAACACAAATAAAGGGAGAGCAATCGGAAGGGAAAGCGAAGCAAACTTTGCAGAGCAGAGGTGGCAAGAAACGGGGAGTGAGGTTTGGTGGAGAGTGAGGGGGAGCATGGAACCTCAGACCGTGACTTCCACAAAGGAGCTGTTTACCTGCCGGGAGGCAGAGAGTTGTGAAAAGTCTTCTGTCTCTGAGCAGGGTATTACAGAGAAAGCAGAGGCAGGTACAGCTTATATAATTAAAACAACATCAGAAAGTGCTCCAGAAAAAATCCCTGGCAGTGAAAAAGCAGTAATTGCTAAGCTACCTCGAGAGACTGCACTAAGTGACAGGCCCACAGAGGAAAAGGAAACAGCGTTTGATACACATGAAGGGAGAAATGATGGTTCACATTATGCTCTTTGTCAACTCAACACAGTGGGTGTATTATATGACACTGAATTTGAAAAGGAATCAGTTTTAGGTATTTATAATGCATGCGTACATGAAACACTGCAAGGAGAAACGAAGTCTGTCTGCAATAGCAAGGAAAAATGTGCCAAAGCACAAGCAGACAATATTCTACCTGTAGGAGAAGCAGTAAAAGCTTCTGCTACGGGAAAGAAAGATTTGCAAGAGGGTTTATGTTCAGAAGTACCTAAAGGTCCCCTGAGCACTCAGAAGCATCTACACCATGAGAAAGCAGAAGAGCTCTACAGGGGAGAAAGCCATGGTGATACACTTTCCTGTTTATGTTCTAAAGCTGAAACAAAAATGCCACCTTCTGGTACAAATACTGTGCCTACTTACCATTATAAAAGCTCTTCAGTGCCATCTTCAGAAGGGCCCACTGTGGAAGAAGCACTTAAGTTACCTAGTGAGTCTCGAGGTTTAAAACATATTGCTTTCAAAATATTTTATTTCTTCTTGTTTCTTCTATTTGCTGCAACACTCTACCACTATGATTTGATGGTCTGCCTTGCACTCTACCTGTTCTCTTTGTATTGGCTGTACCATGAAGGAAGAAGAAACAAGGAGTCTATTAAGAAGGAATAACATTGACTGTCAGCTGTGCTCAGGATCCATGGTCAATAATATTCAATTCCACCAAAGCTTTTTCACTGTTAAAGAGTTTATTCTTTTAGAACCAAAGCAAGATTTTCACAGCATTATCTTTTATTAAGAGATTACATATGAAGTTTAGCCTTCATATAAGTAATTAAACTATGCAGGACCATTATGTTTGGATCATTAAATAGCTATATGAATATGAGTTCTGAAGCACGTCAAGTTACAATGAAGTACAGCTGTTGCTTCTTAACAGGATATGAAAAAGCAATGCTTCATGTCTCTGTAGTACTTAAACCCACCATTTACTTGCTTTAATTTCTTTTGCATTAAAGCTTCATATTTTTCTGGGAATTTTTTTCCCAAGATTCTGTGTGGTACATAAAAACACAAGAAACAGTATAAAACCTAAGTCAGTATTTTGGTGCTGACATTGCAGTTGATAATCTGCTAGTGTAATTAGCCAATGCTCTAAACAATGCATCTGTTGATAGTTTAATACATTTTTCCAAATTTTTATTTCATTTTTTCGACTTAGAGCTTCAGCGGTACCCCTGTTTGAAAAATGTAAGGCTTTGACTTCAGTAACGTCATGTAACTTCCAGGATGTAACTGTGTAGCAGAATAGATGTGCTGTTTCCACCCTGTAAAGATTGAAGGTCACAGCCACAGGCCTCTTACTGATCACTCACATGCACAAAAGTTTTTGGGTTTTGCAAATGAGAACTGAGTAACATGACTGAGAATTTCACTGAACTTATATTCTGGGCAAAGCCTTTGAGTGACATTTTTCATCAGAATTGTTTGAGCATATCTAAAAAGCATTAAATAAATTTTACAAAGGAATGCTATAACTGTGTGGAGCATGTCTGAATTAGATTTACTGCTTTTTTTTCCCCTATGGCTTGCGACCTAGAGCTAATCAAACACCAAAAGAAAACACTGGGCATGACCCTGCTGTTCAGTAAGGCTGCTTTGCCTGGTTTGGGTGAGGCAGAAAAGACAAGTATCTGCCCTAAGGAGAGCCCAAATTGATCCTGTGCAGCAGGCGTGTGGGGCAGACACATGAGCAGCTTTGCTGCTCCAACACTACAGGTGTCCCGCACAAAATCAAGCCCAAATTTTGTCCAGAAAGGAAAGAATTGACAGGTTATGATGCTCTTCAGCCATTTCCCAGAGGATGGCCACAGATGGTATCACAGGTAGGATATTAAAAGAACCACCAAGACTGTATAATGTTGCTGAAGCCATAAAAATTAAGAGAAATAAACAAGAGTTGTTTTAAAGCCCTGCTTGTTTCCCTTTCCTTACTGCCATTCTGAAATACCATAAGTGTGAAAGTCTTGGTTGCAATATATGGCTGAAGCGATGTAATAGCAAAATTAATTAGTTGTTATCTTAGCTCTTAAATAAGTGTTTTAAAGTCCATGTAAAACTTTTTCACATGTTTCAGGATGATAGGACACTCTGCTACAGGAGGCATCTTGGCATTCCTGTTCTGCTGGGGGGTAAAACATTGAAACTTTTTCATTTAGTAGTGCATTCAGTGGGGTGAGCAAGTATGTGTGTGATCTATTGCTGATATGTGTTCTGATGGCTGGACACCTTGGCAACTTTTGACAGCAATCTATGAACGGGTTATAGCAATGGACTAGAGGCATTAAGGAGCTACATGGAAGGCTGTGTCCAGATGTTCAAAGGTATATATGAGGAAAATATTCATTGAGATAAAGAAATTAATTCAATAGGCATTAGGAGATGAATCCAATAAAAAGCTTAGGCTTAGACTTAAAGCAGGATTGAAGTTAGATCAGTGTAAGTCCAAAGTAATGATTGCAGACCTTCCTTTATCGGGAGACAACAAATGCTGAAAGAACCTATGCTTTTCATGATGTTTATACATACTTCAAAAGGCACAACGTTGCCTTACTTCCGGTAGTCCACTTCCTGCAGTGTGACAAGTCCCACGTCTAAGTAGATCAGAATTTCAGATTTACTGGGATAGAGATATCAGGTATTGCTTTACTTCCCAGTATGGTAGAAACTCTGAAATAACATCTAATATATTCTGACAGAATCAAGGTCCTCAGATAGAGAGATAAAAAGTGAAGAAAGCATTCTGCATCTGTCCTGCTGAAAGTGTCACAATGCAGTCAAGTACCAGATTCCTCAAGTGAGAGAAATCAAAGACATTGGACACATTTCAATCTTACAGTTAAAACTACCATGGTAGAAATTAGAATCTTTATATTCACGTAGCCTTTAAAAGCCCCTACAATCTAATTTAACACATAGCTCTTTAAAGCAAAATTCATAAACTTCAGAGCAAGGACCAAAGTCCAGGTTCCTGACCAGTTACGTAAAAGCTCTACACACTAGGTCACAGGATTCAAACCCATGTTTGAATATCTTCAGCTTTACCAAACCTGGGCCTTTCACCCAGCAGAATTTAGTTTAACCATTGGTGGATTATTATTGTGAGGAGGAATGTGATCACCAGGGGTTGGCAGCACCACTGTGCATAGATGGGTTCCTACCTTCTCAACTGACTTAAACTGAACAAAACAATAGATTTATTTTTTTTCCATTTGAGGCTAGAGGCTCATTTGATACTCCCATCACAGAGCAGTTTTCTTTTTCCAGAACTTGTCCATTTTTTAGGGAGGTCTTAATCTGACACAGTCTAAATCCCTAAGCACTGACTTAGCTAAAGAATTTTAAATGTCTTGGACACATCCCTTATTTTAAGCAGAGCTGAACAATTCAGTCATAATGGAGGTAGAAAATCCTGGTTGTGTTTTATTATTGAATCTTGGGGATTCTAAGCAGTATACATTTTAAGGATCCTCTTGCTCCTTCACATGGAAGCATAGCTATCCTTGAAAACCATAGTAGAACCATAAATTTGTGTGGTAGTTGTCTGTATGTAATCTGCAAGGTGAAAATTTTGTTTCTCATGCGTTGCAACCCAAGATATTTGGTTCATCGTCAAAGGCCCAGCTCAGCTGATTGGAGAGCAAGGAAAGGGGTTAGGGATGATTGATGGGCCCTGGACCATGGGTGGAGAAAAGTCAATGAGTTGAATCAGTCTCTGGATAGTGGCAGAAAAATGTTACAGAGAGCTCAGGAGAGGCAATATGACCTGAAAAAAAAAAATGCAAGGGATAAATAGAGAGGATCTATTAATACAGACATTCATTAAAAATTACTGGGCTTTTAATATGTGTCACAATATATTTTTAACAATTTCTAAATATCAGCTAACATTTGGCTAAATTACTTCAATCTCTACAGAAAGTGTGCTTTAAATAGCTATATTCCAGTATCCAACAGGTTAAACATTAGGGTTTGCCATTTTAACATGTACAGTCATTCAGAGCTGGAATTTAGGGTAAATATTTGAGTGTTAGAGTAAGCATATTTCATCTACACACAAGTAGAATACTGTTAGCATTTCTCAGATTTGGATTGGTATTTTATGTTCTATATTTAAAATATTTAATCAGTATATCGTACCTTATGATTGCAAAACAGGACTCTAGACTAATCTGTGAGCACAGGTGCCCAAACTTTAAAGTATGTATGTGCTTAAAACAACAAAGCAAGTAATTTTATCTTTTTTTATTTATCATTTGATAAGCTATCTTTTTAAAATCCTCTTACTTTTGTTTCTAGTATGGAAGAAACACCTTTATAACACTGGCAAAATATTGGGTTTTACTTACTTCAGGGAGTAAGTGGTGTGTTGTGCTTTTGCAATGATTCATAATTAGCTTGCCTACAAGGTAGCAGTAACCTATTTCTAGTTAATACTTTAAATTCTAGTAGATTCCAGTTATTTCTTCAAGCAATGCAACAGAAAGGTGTGATCCTATATGGTAGGGTAATCCTGTGCTCACAAAGGGTTCAACACTAGTAAAATATAGTGATCAAAAATAATATAATTGCAAAAGACTTGCATTATTGAAAGGTATATGAGGTGTATCTACATTCCATATCGTGGGAGGTATGTCCCATGGCTATTTTCCAAACTGCACATATAACAAATAAATTAATTTCCATATTGCGGCCTGTCTAATCTGTTGAATTGGCTTAAATATAAATTCAGGGCAGAAGCGAGAGGAGAGAGAAGAATTTCTGCATTCAGATATCTTGCTGGGAGGTATTCAGAATAAGCTACCTCATTAATGACCTAAGTACTTGTTGTTGCTAATTGCTTGCTGGTTCTTATCAATCAATGACTTTTGGCTCAGCAGAGGATAGGCTCTGAAACAAGCTACAGCCTTTAAAGGCCTAGTTAATACTGGAAATGAAAAAATAAAGAGGACAGAGTATGAACTAGATCCATAAGGGAAGGTTAATATGAAAATGTTCTGAGTCAATATTCTAAATATTATATGTCCAGTGGTATCTACAGCCCTGAATAAAACACCTAAACTCTTTAGTCATCGACCATATGAACAAGAATCAATACAGACAATGTGTTAAATACCGAACTGCCAAAATTTTCTAACAAAAACCCCTGTTAGCAGAGTTAGGTCTTACACCCTTGCCCTGCCAGTGGGATTTAGTTGCTGGATGGCAGGGACTTGCTTTTTTCAGGTCAGGGTGCAGCCCTCTTGTGCACTGAGGTACCTAAACAGTTGCCTTCAGAAACAGGACCCTTTGCAGAAAGCAAACTCAGAGTTTTGGGACTGGAGAAAGTTTAACTCCTTAAGCCATAGATTGGAGGGATATTTGGATATAAACTTTGTTCCAAGAATAACTCATGTATTTTATGTGAAATACTATTTAGATAAAGTACAAAACCAATACCGAGACCTTTACATATCTTCACTGAGGTCTACTTCTTCCTTAGACTATAAATTTACTTTTCCAGGCCTACATCAGTGCCTCATGAACCAGGACTGAAGAATTGTTCTAGCCATGAACTTTGAATTTCTCTCCTAGACCTACATAGGTGCTTCAATCCCAGCACAGTTCCCCTTCAGGCAATCATGCCCTTTTGTGACTCCCAGCAGAGATTTCTGACTCACAGCTCTTCTGAGAGCACTGTCTGCAAAGGAGACTAAGCTTACAGCTATATGGATAATGGCAGGACTCTGGATGTTTTTCTGATCTAGGAGGTCTTGATGCTGCTGAGGATTCAGAATTCAGGTAGGTGTCAGGGGAGATTTTTTTGACCAAAACTACACATGCCTGAGTGAAGACAGAATTTGTCAAAAACATGGGGTGATTGAAGGGAACAGATAATTTCTGCATTCGAGGTAGGCATGAACTAGGTGATCTGAGATATCCAACAAGTGTGATATGTGTGATTTGGTGGTATATATGAGATATGTGTGTTCATGTATGAATGGGTGGCTCTAGGAAAAGGGAATGGAAAGGTGACAACTAGATTCCATAGAAGAATGGAAAAGAAATAGTAAACAGAATGTCTAATTGGAAAGTTTCTGAACAGCTTTCCCTAGAGACGTGAAAGTTTAATAAGTTCTGAGTAGGTTGGACAGATAACACAAATACGTTATTAGCTATATAAAGTATAAAAATTGAAATACATGCTAACTTCTTTTTGTAACTTATCAACTGCCACTTAATGGAATTATAGTGGAGAATATCTTATCCTTGACCTTAATATTCAATGATTCAAGATTAGAGCATTGCTCTGAGGACTAGAAAGACAGCCTCCTTCTCAGGATGTTATAATCCTCCAGGGGGGACAGCCTCAGGCTGGAGCCACAAACCTGCCTCATGGCTGTTTATGCAGGTCAGTCCCCAATGACATGAAGCTATGTGTGTCAGGAGAAAACAAGAATATGTGTCAGCCTGCGCTTATTAGTGCAGAAATATAAAACTGTCTGTAAATGGTTAAGCTCCCACAATCCCTGTGTTGTCTGGTATAGTTCAGAGCCATGGAGGAGCTTTTTTGATTTTCAAGCAGTATGCATGGCTGCAGGAGGACATTTAGATTCCTGAGGACCACAGGGCATGAGCATGTCTTGTGTATCTGTGATGACAGGGAGATCACAGAGCATACAGGCTCATTTAAGCCGCTCTACAAGCTGTATCTATGTGGAAATTTCTGATCCTCTCTACCAGTGATCTTACTGGGGCTGCCAGCTTTTTGTGCTCCTGGCACTACCTTCTCCAGTGGAGGACAGAAGGCAGCTCCATACTACAAAATTTCAGGGTCTCTGATGGGGAAATGAGAGCTGCTGAGGAAAAGACAAAAGCTACCTTATTAAGTAAGTCCCCTTTATTAGGGAGGAAACCTTTCTGCTTTTAGGGCAACCACGGACAATTAGGAGTGGCCTGAATGCTTTAAAGACAAAACACAATGACTGGCTTGGGGGAAAGTCCTGATTAAGCTCCTCAGAAACTCCTTATTTATTCATACAAACTAGATGCCTGTCTGTCCCTCTGTGCCATGAATGAACCAAGATCCATGACTGAAAAGGACAAGAGTAGGAGGCCTCTTGTGCAGGTTTCATAACTCCTTGAATGGTCTAGGCTGTTGAATGGCTTGGGGCAGTTAGGCACACTTAGCAATGCCTACAGGAAATGTCTCAGCAGTCACAAGGGTCTTGGCTTGTACCCATTTAAATTCATGTTTTGGGAGACAGAAATCAGGCTTTTATATGAGCTTTATAAGATTAGGTATGAAAGACAAATACTGCTTGATAAACTACTGGTTTATCAAGCAGTTTTATACAATTTTGTGATGTAATTTTAGTGTATATTCCCTCTAAATAATGCAGCATTTTGTAGAATTATGGCAGACTTACGAATAAAACTTATAGAATAAAGGAAAGAATGGAAGATAAAAATAGCTTCAAAAGAGAGGGAGAAAGCAAGCCAAGCAAGCAAGCAAGCATGTGCATGCACTGTTCCATAGACAAGAGATTTAAAAATGGGAAAATTATCTTTTTCTAAGTTCAGGTTGAATTTGTGATCACCACATCACTGTTCTTTAAGCCATGCTACACTCCAGAAAAGGGCACAAACATAGACAAGTCTTTTAATTTCCCTCCTTATATGTTAGCAACAAAAAAAATCATCAGTATTAGAAAGCAAATTAATAAAGTCTTTGTTCTTGGGGGCAGAGGCAATGCCGCTGTTAACCTTGCAGGTGAGGTGGGCAGGCTGCTGTAAATGCAGTGTTTGGATGGTGTGGCCAGGACGTGCTCACAGCCTGCTGTGCTGGGACTTGGCTCTGTGTGTTTCACATACACCCACTCATGTGGACTCAGCTACCTGTGTCCTTGCCTTCAATCTTACTCTGGTGTGCATGGGAAACTGCATGTACAGCAATTCACTGTGTTATTCATTACATGATATATAATTTGGTATAAAGAAATGTTTAAATAAACTGTTATTATCTTGAAATTATCAAACATTGGAAGACATACACTGTAAGAAACTCAACACTATCAACTGCAGTCATGACCTTTTAGACTTACTAATCTGAACAGACTTACACCTGTAGCTGTACATCATCCTTTAATGTGGACATATCAAGTGAGAAGCAAACATGGTGTTTTTTATAAAGAGTGCTGTCTGATATTTCATAAGGCAATAGCATGACTTGCCATGTGCTTTTCTTTTAATTCTGCAAGAGTCAAGAATTTATACATTCAATAAAAATTGCTTATAAATTAGATTAATGACAACTGTAATCTCATTAATTATATTTTTAATAAACCAATGCTGAACTGTGTTCAATTGCGTGGTTACAAAGCTACATTTTCTGCTATGCACTAGGCATCACAATTTTCACAATTATCACTGAGATATTTAGGCCAGTCATACTGTTGTGGGCAAGTTTTCTTCACAGTCCACAGGGTTTGCAGCAATGGACAGCTCAGGTGCCCATCTGCTGGAGGTGCAACCCAGAGCCCTGAATAACATTTCTGTGCTCACTATCCAACACAAGGGAAAATGAGCTGTTCCAGAGTGGCAGCTCAGAAACCCACTGGATGTGGACTCATCCCACTTTTGAACAGAAAGGTACTCAGTGAATTTAAATAAATTCAGAATTAGGTAGAAGCTGCAGCATACACAGTGTGGCTAATGTGCCAATACTCTGGGGAGTTTTAGCCCTAGAGAGCTTCCTGCTCCAAACTCCAGGGTGGGGATGACTGGGCTGCCCCATCACTCCTCTGCATCTTTATTTCCTTCTCTGGGTCATCGAGAGGAAATGGCATCAGTATATGCCAGGTCTCCAGATTAGGGTGACCAGAAGATCATAATCTCAGGCACTCTGTGGACCCTGCCTTACATGATTCACTGGATTATGACCTTGGCTTTTCATTACTTAGATCCACTTGGTTCTTGTTTTAAGCATTTGAGACCTTAATTATATTTAGATAAACATTATTTGGCCTCAGTGCATGAGAATAGACAGTATTTTGAAAGAAAATTTAATGGCAGTCTAAGTTAAATTAGTAACAAAAACTTTCATCTGCCTTTCAAAACCTAACTTGTTTCGTTCTTGACCTTATTTGCCTCTGGTCTGGCATTTCAGCTATAATTAAGACAACTTCCTTTTCAGATGCCCAGTTGGTCAAAGATGGCTGGGGATACAATTAAAGGAAACCAAGAAGTTTTATTGGCATCCTAATGTAAATTATAATGGTACAGAAATTATAAAATACAGTTGCTGGTCCCTGGATGGAATGAAGTTGGCATACTCAAAACCTATCCCATGATGATTCCCCACACCACAATCTGCAACCATAGCACCTGCTAAGGGGGATGGAATAGAGGGTGGAGCAGAATGGAGAGGCTGTGGCCAGGCTCTGTTGGAATCCTTGCAGGGAGGTACTTTGCAGCTGAGAAGCTGCATAACACCTGTCAACCAGGGGAGATGTCTAGCTGTTGAGCAAGACATCTCACAACTGTGGCAAAATCACTCTCCTCAGATTATACCCTAATTGTAATCTTAACACACACGTGCATCCCAAAGTTACCCACCTCCAAAGTATGACAACCCTCAATGGGCATGCTCTCTATATTCTTTTTTGACAGTATCTTTAAAAGTGAAGCAAGAAAATTTTACACCCATCAGTAAACAAGTAATTTATTAATAAAGTCATTCAAGCTCCACCTAAATACAAAGAAATAGTATAAAAGTAAGTTGAGAATAAGAGGAAAATAAGGGAAGGCTCCATTGCAACTGCTAAAGTCAGTCAAGGGAGCTAATTTATTTTTTTATTTATTTATTATTTTACTAGACTATCTGTGCTAAATAATTTTACTGGAGCTTGTCTGTGTATTGCTTTGAATGCATTTTTGCAGTCAGCTATTATCACCAAGAAACTTTAACCTGTCACAATTTTATATTAATGAAGAATGTTACTCTGCTAGTGTGAGTCCTTCACGAGCACTGACAGCTGCTGGCAGTGGGTTATACTCATGTGAAGAGGAAGAGGGGTCATAAAGTGGAAAGACCTGGTGTGTGGTCTCCCTTATGCTGTTGGGGTGTTTCCCTGACTAAGTCAGTCAAAGCACCCTCTGATCCAGCAGGACTGCTCAGTCACAATGCTGACAACCTCGTTGGGCACAAGGGCCTTGCCTTTCCTGACAGATAAGTTAAATACTAAGGTTCAAGTAAACTTCCCCAAACTAAGGGTCCAGAAAATCTTCCTTTTTTTGCATGTTACCCATTCTTTAATACCTATGCCCTTCTGTTTGTACTCCACAAGCACTCCTATTCAATTTGACATTATGAAGACTGCATTTGGGTTTTTTTACTTTAACTTAGTACAATGACATATTTATGCAAATATATAGCAGATAATTTACTTATATACAAATAAAGCCATACCATAGTACCAAATTACCATTATATTAGTGATAAGCAAATTGTGATTGAAAGTGGACAGCTGCAAAATAAACTGGTGCTGGCAGTCAGGCAGGTAGAGCTCTGCTATGGTGAGTCTAGATAAAAGTGAGTCCAAAAGCAGAGAATTCAAACTCCTGAGCCTGGAATACCTATGGAATAGTTTGTCTTCTAAAGATACAGTCCTACAGTTGCTGAAGTTTTCAGGGAAAACCTCTCTAATTGCAACATTTAAAATTACAACTCCCCTTCAAAAACCTACCTTTCTGTGTTCAGAAAACATTTCCTCATGTCTGGCATCACAGAAAAAACTGTTTATTAATCACTCTGTAACTGCCCCTCCTGACATGAAGTCTCCTGCAGCCGTGCAGAGATGCAGGTGTGTCCAATCAGTGCACTGCAGGCAAGTGGAGGCTTGGTCTGCTCACCGTCTGGGTCTGCACGGGGCTGCTCTCCTGATGGGCAGAGGTGGCTGAGCACACTGCCGAGTTTGATTGCTGAGCCCTCCCCTCAAATGAACTACTCTGAACTACTGAGATGGGAAAGCAGTCTGTGGTTTGCACAAAGGATGGCAGAATGAGCTCACATCTGCTTGGAGGAAGCAAAGACATAAATACATACATAAACTGGGTAATGGTGAAGGTGCTGAAGAGCTGAAGGTGGATGGACAAAGTCAAGCTAGCCAAATTATTCCACAAATCTGAGTCTGAAATACATAAACTTTAGACAAATTCTTTACATAGATTTGTTAATGAAACCTTAATGATTTCATACAAATTTTAAAAAATGTGCATAATTTAAGTTTCATTGCGTCATTTTTGGAATGGCACAAATGCAGTTTCTAGAAATTGATGAAAATTTCATAGTGATGCTTACAATTCATTCACTCAAATTCATAGTGGTAATCCTTCTACTAAAAATTTAAAATTTGGGGATTGGACAGAAGTGATTAAGAAAAAAATCTTATTTAAAAACCACTTGCCTAGGACACAACCTGTGGAGCAAATTTATGTTACCTGAGAGTGAATGGAAGGTCTAAAAAATTGCACTGTAGGAGGCTTTGGGTAAGTTTGGCTACAGATTTTGTTATATGCTACAGTGATAAACCATTTTTTTATACCTTATTAACAGGCTCTCCTTGCTATTATTTCTTGTGCTCTGTATTATGAAGACTGCATATTTTGGGCTGAATATTTTCCCATATCAAAATTCTCATGGCTGCGGCTACATAATCATATCTTGCAAATAAGTGGAAATTAAAAACACTGAATAAAATGACAGATACAACAAGGATATTTTCTGGTGCCTGCCTGCTGCCTAGGTGCAGCAGAAAACTCCACTGAGTTGTGATTTCACAGAATAAGCTAGGTTTGGAGGGACCCATGAGGATCATTGAGTTCAACTCTCAGCTCTGACCAAGAGTCACACCACATGCCTGAGAGTACTGTCCAAATGTACCTAGAGCTCTGACAGGCTTGGTGCTGTGACCACTTCCCTGGAGAATCTGTTGCCCAATCACCCTTTTTCTAATATCCAACCTAAACCTCCCCTGACAAAACTTCAGGTCACTCCCTCATGTCCTGTCTCCAGTCACCACAGGGAAGAGATCAGTGCCTGCCCCTCCTCTTCCTTTCATGAGGAAGTTGAAACTGCAGTGAGGTCTCCCCTCAGTCTCCTCTTCTCCAGGCTGAACAGACCAAGTTACCTCAGCCACTCACATAGCTTCCCCTCAAAGCCCTTCACCATCTTGGTTGCCCTCCTTTGGACACACTCTCATAGCTTTATATCTTTCTTGTATTGTGACATCTAAAACTGCCCCCAGCACTGGAGGTGAGGCTGCCCCAGTGCAGAGCAGAGTGGGACAATCCCCTCCCTTGCCTGGCTGGTGATGCTGTGCCTGATGCACCCCAGGACAGGGCTGGCCCTCCTGGCTGCCAGGGCACTGCTGACTCACATTCAACTGGCCATCAACCAGGACCCCCTGGTCCCTTTCTGTGGCACAGCTTTCCAGTCTCTCAGTCAGTAAGAGCTGCCCCATCCCAGGTGCAGAATCTGGCACTTTCTTATACTGAGCTTCATATGGTTGGTGATTGCCCTGTTCTCCATGTTGTCAGGCTATCTCTGCAGGGCCTCCCTCCCCTCACAGGAGTCAGCAGATCCTCCCAGTTTTGTATGGTCTGATCCTCATCCTGGAATAGGTCAACATTAATTTTACACCTGGCCAATTGCCATTAATATATTTGAAAAAATTGCTTTTGTTGTCCCCCACAGTTCTGGCAGCTTCAGCTCCATCTGAGATTTGGTTATATGAATTTTCTCCCTAGAGTGGCAAGCAGTATCTCTGTATTTGTCCCATGTTACCTGACCTTGCTTCCACTGAGCATACACCTTCTTAGTTTGCCTTATTTCCAAGAGAAGAAATCAAGTTCAACCGAGCTGACTTTCTGCCTCACCTGCATGACTTCCAGCATTTGGGAATTGCCTGTTTCTGTGCCCTTAGGAAGTGATGTTTGAAAAGTGATCAGCACCGATGGACTTCAACACCTGCAAAAACATTTTTCCAGGGGACCACAGTTACTAATTCCCAGAGCAACCTGAAGTCTGCCCTCGTCATGTCCAAAAGCTGGAGTTTTGCTTCTTTTTCTCCTGTCAACAGAGTTTTAAATTCAATTGCTTTGTGGTCACTGTGGTCAAGATGGCTGTGAATCACTGCTTCGCTCAGGAGATCCACTCTGTTTACAAGAAGCAGATCAAAGAATTGAGAGGAAAGGAAAAGACAGAACAGAGAAATAGCAGAAAGGAACTGTCTCAGCATAATCCCACTGTACCTGAGTGGATCTCCTAGTAGAAATCCCTACCTGGCATATAAGTACTAC